GGTGGTTTCAGGGCTAGAATTACTTGGACATATAAAATCTTTGGAAGTGAATCAAAAAGTGAAGAGTAGTAGTAACTATTTAGAAATTAGATTCTTATTTGTAATGGGATATTGATATCTAAAAGAAAAGTGTGATGGTGACAAAATTTTATGAGGAATGTTAGGTATATTAAACTGTAAATTACTGGAGAAGACTACTCAAGTTGAGAAGTATGGCTAGGGGTCTAGTTAAGCACAGTTTGAGGGTGGGAGATTGCACAAGCATGTGGCTGGATTACTAGTTACAAAATGGCCCCATTTCACAGCAGCTCGGGCTCTCTGATATGGAACTTCTTCAACTGGACCCTCGAGTCAAATTTTATAGCCTAATTTCGAACCATAAGTGGGTAATTCCAAGCTCCTTACATCACATTCCCTTCTTCCAAAGTCGAGCATTCATTTCACAGCTTCAGCATACTCCTCCCCCCTCTATCAATAGTGAACAAGCTGATCAAGTTCATTGGCTTCCAAGCTCTCCTAATGATTACTCCCATAGGCTTACAATGGAATATTTCACTCCCCCCTCTCTAGCCTTTGCTTGGGATCACCTCATTTGGTTTAAACACCATATCCCAAGACATGGATACATTGTTTGGTTAGCACTCAAAGAGAGACTATCAACTCTGGACTCAAAGCAAATGCTGAAGAAGCACTACACCAATGCCTGCTATCTATGCCTTGCAGATGAGGAATCAGTGGATCGCATCTTCTTCAAATGCCATTATAGCTCCATCATTTGGAATTTTATTCAACATACAGCTGGTTTCTACATTAAACCTAACAGTTGGAAGGATCCGATTGCTTGGTGCTCAACAACTTGGACACAGGACCACTTCATCACTCACAAACTGCTGCTATCTTGTGCCATATACTTCATTTGGCAAGAGAGAAATGTAAGAGCTTTCAGGAACAGGTCTTCTTCAGCCAACCAAATAATTCACCTCATCAAAGGCTGCATAAGAGCTAGATTTGCGTCTCTCAAGTTAAAGAAAGGTGCTGATATAAGAAAGATTCAATCAGTTGATGCATTACAACAACTTTTTTTTACACGGCTGCTCCTATGCCAAAGGACAATCATGGTTTCTGTTGTGACTCTGTCAGTGCTACTGGATAACTCCTCCTGCGTTTAATTTATAGGACAGTCTTGTTCTACTCTGTATGTTATTTACCTCTCAATATGATGTAATTGGTTGTCTGCTAAGAATTTTTGGTTTGATATGGTTCCAATTGCCGCCAAGGTTATGTTCCTTTGGCTTATTGTATTGTTGGACCTCTTTGTACATATTTTCCTTTTAGAAAGCTTATCCTTTTAACCAAAAAAAAAAAAAAAAAATGAAGAGGTTTTGGACTATGTGAAAAATTGATTGCAACTTATAATTCTAATAATAGAGAAATCTAGAGTTAACAAAGAAGGGTGTTACATCACTAATACGTTTAATGATATCAAGTTTCAGTATAAAATCCCATAGGCTTTCTTTGATTTAAATTTGAGCATATAATATTAATCGAAATTATGTATGATAACCTTCATTTGTTGCAAAATTTTTTGAAGCAAAAATATGAAATTATGTTTGATAAAAAAAATAGGGAAAACTACAAAAAAGTAGAATTAGGAGTCTTAAATAACAAAATGGTCTATTTTACAAGTTTACTTTTCAATTTAATTGAATTTTAAAAATTAATTACAAATACATCAAGAATTATTTTTAAGGTCCAAAATACCAAAATATCCTTCATAGTATCACATAATTCCAAAACACCAAAAAAATTAGGAACCCTACTTTGTTCTAGCCAATCTCAGTATTGGTTTTTTTTTTTTTTATGAATTGCCATTTCAAGTATTGCTCGTTAGGATATGGATCAAATAATAGAAACTGGCTGAAGGTATACCTAAACCATTCTTGGGATTTGCCCAATCTCATGCTAAGCTTTCCAGTGGGAAAAAATCACCCAACTAAAATAGAAAATTAGTAAATTAGAGGATCTTTGCTTTATTACCCCAACTTCAACATGGGGAAAGGTAGCAAAATAGACGTCTGTGGCTTATGTGCTGGAAAAAAGCGTTGTGCATGAGAGAAAAAAAACTATATAAAAAAAAAAAATCTAATCCATTGCAACAATTATTTTAGTCAATTCATAAGGAGTCTCTTCTAAAATTAGATTGTTTTTTTTTTTTTTTAGTTTTCTAAAATTAGATTGTCAGTTGTTAAAAAAATATCAAGTTTAAACCAATGATTTCAGCACTACCTTCCTCCTGTGTTCTTAGCAAACTAGTTTAGGTTTCTTTTGGCAAGTTTATATATATATAATTCTATAATCTTGTGAGTTTGGTCTTAATTTGGGATAACTTTCTTTGATAATATATATAATTTTATTGCAGAAGGAAATAGTAACTGAGGCATTATTTTCAAATTATATTATCTTAGGAAGGATATTTAGGTAATTTGAAATAAGAACTTGAGGATATTTTGGTCCGTAATAATAATTCTTGATGCTTTTGTAATTATTTTATTTAACTCAATCAAATTGATGTATCAACTTTAAAAATAGACTATTTTGTTATTTAGGATTCCTAAGTCTACCTGGTAGTTTTCCCAAAAAAATATTGCCAAGTTTGAAAAAAATAATGGTTAATTTAAAAATGTGACTTTTTTTTTTCTTGTAAAAATATGTATTTTGATTTTTGATCACTACTCACAAAATATTTAGATATTGCGTAAAATAAAACATTTTTTACGAAATATATATTTTTTTCATGTTGAGGTTCTTTGCCACTTCTGTAGCTATTCTCACTTAGTTCTACACCCTTTACTATAAATAAATATTTTAGTCCATCCAATTTTCGAAAAAAAATATTTTAGTCCATCCATATTTTATTTTTCGATAAATTTTGCTGCAGGTCCTCTTGGGGATTTTTACAGACAATCGCCCCTTCAACAATCATTCCGGCATTTTCTCCGACACCATTCCTATTTTGATGCACACGCTACATTTGGAGCACCGATGTATTAAAATTAAAATTGAAGGAGCTAAATTTCCTTAATTTTAATTTTAAGACACATAATTTGATATTTCCAGATATAACATGAATAAATCTATTTAAAATATAATCCTCGTCCTCTTTTTAAAAAAACAAAGAAAAAATAACAAAAGAAGATAGTTTTCAAATCCTATTCTAAAAGAGAATCAGACATGAGCATGGCAATAGGTCTCCTGGTGAAAAAGTACGGCTTGTTAGCACTCTTCCTACTCTTCTTTTGATCGCGTATTCCTACCGCCTTGCCCAGTATCGTGTCTTATAACCTGATGGGTACTATCTTAGTATAGGTAGGGATGACATGATTGGAACCAATGACATTTGTAAAGGGTGATTTTTAGACATAATCGTCACTCTTGTGTGGTTAATTATTATGTATGAATGAATTCATATATAAAAACCAATATAAAATAATAGGAGTACATAAAATTCTCATGCTTGACCATGAATGACAAAAATTTTGTGTTGGATTGAGGACTCCCCCCAAAACCCCTGAACATCCAAGTTTTTTTGAAAATGCTATTAATAATCCCTAAACATTAATTAATTTGTAAATTTTGTTCCTAAAATTTACTAAAATTTTCAACTGTTCCCCAATGTTTTTAAAAACACTTGAAAATAAATTTAGTTTGTCTCCTTCAAATTTTTTTTTTTTTTCAACTTGCACTCTTTTAAATATACTTCTACAAACTCAAATACTATGAAACAAAAATTTAAGCTCATTACTATTATAGTCATTTTTTTTTTGGGTAAATAATTATTTGTTATTTTGTTTATATATACAAGTACAATATCTATAATATTAATTCAAGAGAGAAAAAAAAGGGATAAAACAATTAATATTTCTAAAATGTTTAGTAAGCATTTTTTGTCAAACATTTTTGTAAAATAGTATTTACACGAAAAATATCTAAAATTATATAACAATCTTTATTAGAAAGTCTTAGGTATATTTGGAAAGAAAATAAACTAAAGATTTGTGAGACCATCAATAACAATAATAATATCATATATGCTAATAACTTTAGTTATCACTTTCTAAATAACAAAATTTATAACTATTAATAACTCAATAATAATCTTGTTGAATTTAAAATAATTTTTTTGAGTTAAAATTCATTATGTATTTCTAATTTTTTATCTATGTACATCCTTCCCAAGTGGAATCAAAGTGCTTTATTTTCTTCTTCAAAAAATAAAAAAATTTTAAAAAACTGAAACAATTGATAAATAAAATTTGATTTTCTAACAATGTTTATTTCTTTATGTTTCTTCTCCATCATTTTCTTTATAACATCAAAATTTTTTTTTTTTTTTTGTCTAACTTGTATTTTTCTCATTTTTTTAATTTTCTCAAGGTATATATACTATGATTAGTATTTTAAAAAAATTTATATTACAATTAATTAATAATTTTTATTTTTATTTTTGTTACATAGTTCAAATCTGCTCCCCCAATCTTAATTTTTTTGACTCCGCCCTTGCTCATCATTCGCAAGTTAGTATTCACTTACCAAAGGTAGATCCCTGTCCTTATTTGAGATTTTGAATGTCCTTGATCGAGCCATGTACATCCCCTCTCAAATAAACCTAAAAACCCCTCCCAATATTCCAAAAAAAAGAAGGTACAGCTCTCACACTATCCACTATGGGTAAAAAGTACAATACTTAACACCAACATAAAAGTTTCCTAATTATCCAAAAAAAAAAGCATAAAAGTTTCCTTCCATTATTATTATTATTATTATTTTTGTATAAACAAATTTAAGAGAAAAAAACAAACAAAGGTAATACCTAAAGAATGTGGTTTGATCAATTATCCCTCACCCAAAAAAAAACCAAAAAAATCAAATGCGGTTTAAAAGAATAAAAGCATATATGAAATTAATGAAGAAATTAGTAAATAGCCAAAACATGAATACTTTTACTGTCTTATGTGAGACGAGTGGGGTGAAACAATGCTTTCGTAAAAAATTTCTGCTTCATGAGATCGAAAGGTATCCTGACATCCACGAATACAGGGAATCTTCTGTATAGAGCTATATGTATTTTTTTCTATATTGTATGCACATAACCATTGATTAGTCAGAAATTGAATTTCATCGTCGTTTGATAAATTCAAAGGCCCTTCATTAGGCAACGTTGCAGCTTTGGTCCAAGACTCTCTTTTGCCGTACACTTTCATCACCCAAAGCTCCCTTGTAACAGTGATAATACAAAGACATCCTTTGACAACTTCAATAGAGTGAGGAGGTGTTTCATAGTCCGGTAAGAAAAAATCTTGAAATTTGTCGTTCGCTAAATGAAAAGCAACTATCTTCGACATATTGTCATCATCATATGTCAACCAATGGAGAGCTCCATTGAACAATTTTCCCCGATTTCTGAACTTGATCGTATAAGGGAAATCGTGAACGATTCTCCAATAATTTATTTTTAGTGCATACACACTGACATTGCTTTTGTTTCTTTCCGAAGACCACGACAACTCCACAATCTTGTAGTCGCGAGCGGACGCATCGTAGCCAAATCCATACGAGACTGTTTCCCTGTTTCGGAACGGCGAGCTTGGTATTTTGTTGAGTTCTCTGGTTGAAGGATTCAACAGGTAAAGAGTGTTGGATGGAAAAGTTGAAAATAATATCAAGCCATCACAAGAACCGAAAAACCTGATCGACTTGGTCCCGAAAGGAAGTGGAGAGTCAATGTGGAGAGTCAATTTTGACTCATCAGTGTCGAGGGAAAATACAACAATGGGTGTGTTCGAAAAACGGGATGGTTTAGCAATTGTACACGAAGAAACAAGTTTGCGGTTGTGGGATCGATTGAAGTGCATCTTAGCCAAGTATGGATCCGTGAATAAATTGAGCCAAGATTTGGACACACACTTCAGCTGTACAAGAGACTTGATCGGTAGTCGTGAAAGTATGTTAACTGTGAGATCATAGGGAAGGATGGGGAAAGACTCCCGCTGGAGGGCTTTTTCTATCTTCATAGTCTTTTCTCGCGCCGAGCAGGGAGTAGAATTATTCTTTTGTTTGCTAGGGTCGGATGCTTGAAGGAAGAGGAGAAAAAAACCCTACAGATGCTTAGGATTCCCTCCTTCCCAAAATAAGTGCCGTACTTTCTTTTCAGTCTATCCCAAAATAAGTGTCTACTTTCCTGTCCTTTGAATTTAAAATCTCAAAGTTAAATATTTAAAATTTAAAAGGACGAGTTAGTATCTAGACAGACAATACATGTCCCACATATCTCCTTAAAAATTACTACTCCCGTAACACTTAAATTGAGACTGAGGTAGTAGCTTTTAGAAGTAAATTCCTTTCCTTTTGGTATAATAGTAAATTAAATTATTACGAGCCATACTTAGCATTCAGGTATCTACTTTAAAGGAAACTTGCATTTACTTTTCTTTCTTTTTTTTAAAAATATATTTTAAAAGTTCTTGTTAAATACTATCAATGTTCTACTAAACATCGATTTTATCAGGTGAGTACGGATTAATAAATACTCTCCGATCATAACCGTCACCAAGATGTTGAAAATATATATATATATATATATATATAAAGAGAGAGAGTAATATTCTATAGAAATATTATTGAAGTTTGTTAATTAATATATTTATTTTGGTACCTTTGATTATTTCTGACTTGATCACAATAAAATATTTGTTCGACAAAAATAATAATTTAATAAATAAATATATAATAAATCATTTTGTCTAAAATCATACGAAGGCCTTCGAATTTACTTTGTGATCAACCATAATCAATACAAAATAAATACAAGTAGCAATGATGCAAATATTGAAAATATAACCCTCTAACTATTAATTACATAACTACCCGAAGTGTCGGTCTAAGGATCCCGAAGAATCCGCCGAACAAATCAAAGTAATTATTAATTAATAAAAGAGTCTATACTTTTCTCATGCTTAAGAGTCAAATGCCATGACGGTGATAGGGAGTAATTGCATACGACGGCTCTCGCAATATATCTTAACCTAACGCGGATCCAGTTCAAGTCTTAATTAATTATGAGTCCATCCATAATTACCGACTATGAACAATTTATAATTACTATTTATATATCATGCATTGATTGCCATCACATACATATATATAAATATTTCTTGTAATTACATGGACACTATCAATTTCATAGTGAATCGAAATATAATACATTGAATTCACCAATTGTATAAAACATAAATATTTCAGAAACGTCAGCAACATATGTCAATTAATCCAAATAGGAATTTGCTATGCCAGGGCATATAAATCCCAACACAATCATCTGAAAGAGGAGTGAGATTGTTCTATCTTATCTATTGTTAGTTTTGATTTCAATCCAATGATGAATGTTCAGTGATAAATCCTCACCTCCTCTAAAATACTTTGAATGTGCCCTTTGCTGAAGAAATTGCAACCGAATGGAGCCTCCCATCATCTTTCTTTGATATAACCCCTACGAATCCCTTCTTTACATTTCCAAACAACAACCACAACCTCCCTGGACCACCCCCTCCACCCCCGCAGCCGCCCCCACAGTATCCCGTGCTATGATGCTTCTAAGTTGTTGATCTTTCATGCCCATGTCTTTGATTGGGTTAGTATGTGCCTGAGTGGATATATTTAGTGCTGAGTTTGTATGTATTTATTTAATTTCATATATGTTGGGCCACTTTGTGGACTTCTCTTTTGTCTTTTTTAGCCCAACCTCATTGGGTCGGGGGCATACCCCTCGTTATCCCTATATTTATTTTCTTTGTAATGCAAATCCTTAATTATCGGAAAAAAAAAACAAAAACAACACAAAATTGTATTTCTAACTTGAATTTGTCATAATTCAAAATTATTCTTCCCAGCAAATTTCTGTAAGAAAATTCTAACATAAATAGAAACATGGTTTCAATGCATAAATTTGATAAAGAAGAAAGACATACCTAGTATAGAAATTATGCTTCAAGAGAACACTAAAGCGGAAACGTTCTTCAACTCTCTACCCTTACTGCGATACTGAACGATGGATTTCAGACCCTTTTACCGCATATTTATAGAGGGCTGGGACCGTTCCATAATCGTTGTAAGAGTAAAAGGTATGTTGATTCCATCAACCAACACACCTGTACAAATAGATATGTTGATTCCATCAACCAACACACCTCTTGATTACATATATATATATATATATATATATATATATATATATATATATATATGTATGTATGTATGTGACTGTTTATTCTAAAGCTGTAACATTTCTTACATATATGGTCAATGATTAATATTATTTAATTATTATTTGACTATTATTTGCTTACATTCTCCCACTTAGTCTAACAATAATTAATTTCGATCACTTCAAGATCAAAATGATCATTGAGTGTACTACAGAAGTTAATCCATATATTTAAAATAAAACACCTCTACCATTCAATTTGGAGTACCTTCGAGTCTACTAATATGAGATCAAGGGCGTCATTATATCATCAATGATATAAGACACCAATGGTCACTGATACTAACAAACTCAACTCCAGCGTCACATATATTTTGCATGTGCATTTATTCAATACAATATTCATGCCAAGCATCAGTCCTACCATGTCTCAATAAGCACACACCGTATCTCAAAACTGGACACTTAAGTCACAAATTTTCCATACACATGTGCACTAATATGAAAAATCTAATAAATGAGAATAATAACTGTGATCAAAAAATAAAATTGTCTTTACCTGAGCCAAGTACAACCTCCCACTAACTAAGTAAATTAATGTTAAAAAAAAAGAAATTTGCAAGCTTACTGTACAACATTAGCGGTAAACCCTTAGTCATGGGATCAACAATCTTTTGTTGTGTATCAATGTGCTCAATCAGACACTAGCTGGTTCTGTATCCTCTATTTCATAACAAGGTATTAATGGTCATATTTTAGACCAACTTGAACTCTTGTTGTTTCTTTAATACAAGATTATAGCGGTATTGACCTGAAGTCCAAAACTGATATTTTATAAAGCATGAAATGTGGCCTTATAACATACAAATAAACTCCGCTTCTATCACTTATCATAATAGTAAAATTATACTTGAAGTGGATTTGTATACTATCCTAACAACCAGCAAAGTCAGTTTTTACCACTCCTATAAAGATATGGTTCTTAACTATTTGCAAGTACCTTATAAATTTCTTTACCGCTTACTGTGGATCCAAACCAGGATCAATGTGATATATGTCTATCATATGCTATTTTATAGTTAACCATATACAAAACCTGAGCATACATTAGATTTTCAAAGGCGTAGAAAATGCCTTTTACCTAATTCTGCTCTAGATATTTTCTTGGTCATTGGATTACCAAATTTCTCAACTTTTACAATAGGTACAATTCTACCTCTATAGTGTTATATGTTAAATACTTTCAGAATTCTATCAAAGTAGGTTCTTTAATTGTGACAATTCAAAATTTCACGATATTTATTTAGGTGAAACTTAATGCCAATAAAAAGGCTTCACCAACATCTTCATCTCAAATGTTCGAGAAATTAAATTGTTTAAATCTCGTGTACAATAATGTCACTGTCATCCATGTTTAACACTAAAGATGAATTTTACTCCCACTGACTTAGAGAATAACTAAGGCCACACATTTGTTGTTTGATTGATGGGAAGGTCAACTAAACTTTCCAGAGTTAATTAAATAATGCCTCAAAACAATTTACTCTGAATGGGATCAACATAACATAAAATTATCTTTCCGGCCAAAATTATCATATATTAGTCTCCCACTGGTGAAATAACTTTCACCTTTGAAGTTAATTAATCATAAAAAAGACAATAACAACTTATACTCCTTTGGGCGTAGTGAGTTATCAATTGTGTCTTCTACACTAATTACCTCAATCCGCTTAGTTGGACAAACTCAATGGCCCACCTTTGGGCTTGATCATTGCTCGTCTTTACTAAACGCCAACACAATCCTTTAACTTTAACAAAATAATAATTTTGTCACTAGCTACAAATATCATTAAAATTTTCATGAGTGTGCCACTTTGGTGACTAAACACTCGATCAAACTTAACGACACTTGTGCCTATAATTGCAAAATGATTCAATTTTCCCGAATGAATCAAAGTACCATATACATATTATGCAACAATTTATAACATGAGACATATGCATAATAATGTATACAATTTCAATAACATGTATAATTTCATAAACTTATATGCTATGAAACTTTAAATTAATCATTAACTATGCCATGTACATCATCAAATATATAAAACATTCATCCAGTGATGATAACTTAAGAAAAATGATATATTTATGGAAATTAATATTTAAGGGACAAAATAAAATCCAAAGTTTTCAAAATTTATACATGTTATAAATATTAAATTAGTGACCCTTATTGATAGAGTAAGTAGAGGTGCATGTAACACATGACTCTCGGTGGAGAGACATGACTATTGGTTTAAATTCAAAAGACATGCACGTTGGTTTAATCCCAAAAGACATGACCATTGATTGCAACTCAAAAGATATGATATACATGTATATATATATATATATAACGAATCAACGTTAGTAACCCAAACTAAAACATGTAATGGTATGTTGAACTTGAAACATATAATAACCCTTCACAATCGGCATAACTCTTAGTGTATAGACCACAGCCTACGTAGCATCTGTAGGTACAGAGATATTTCGGTTGGTTCAAATCCAAAAAGACATGTTTGCTGGTTCAAATCCAAAAGACATGACTAGTAATTTGTCCAAAAGTTGTGACTTTTGAGAACATTTGTAACTCAAACATAAAACATGCCATGTCCGGTGAATGGGTGGTATGTTTCAACTTACAACCGTCATAAACAATCATGCAGCACTCTGCTATCATAAACAATCATACATGACTCTGAATGTGATTAACAGATAACCATTCCCATGGGTTCATGCATAAATTGAAACAGAAAATATTCACATTGTTAATTATGAAACAACAAAAGAAAATATTCAGGTTGTTGTGAACATCAAATAGAAAATAATATTCACGTTGTTGTGAAACACCAAATAGAAAATATTCACATTGCTATTATAAACTTTCAATATGCAGCCACATTTTAACAGTCGCATCCACAATGTGTATTTTAATTTAATATAAATTTTCATATCTATTTGAATTACTTTTCATAATTCTATCAGTATTGATATAACCAAATAATGTATATAAATGACACCTTTGTTAATATATATATATATAAAAGTCACCCTCAACAATATAATTTTTAGCAACACATGTACGTTCAAACTTATCCCATATATATACGACCACAACGTTTAACAATTATACGAATACAATATTTAACAATTCAACTTTCTTTGATATTCCTTCCCTTCAAAATGATCATCATAATTTGAGAAGGACGGTTACTTTACTAAAAGTAGATGAGTCAATTTCACGTGTAATGTCTTCATACACAATAAAATAATATTTTCGTATAATCATAAAACAATTTTTATGCCATAAGTATACTTTTAATATAATTTGTAATTCAACTATAATCGGTGTTTTATTCTATTTCAAATTCATAAACACCAGAAATACAATATACTTAAAATACTCAGAATGCAAGCATTAGAGTCTATGTTGGCTTTGATACCACATGTAAGAAAATTCTAACATAAATAGAAACATGGTTCCAATGCATAAATTTGATAAAGAAGAAAGACATACCTGGTAAAGAAATTATGTTTCAAGAGAACACTAAAGCGGAAACGTTCTTCAACTTTCTACCCATACTGCGATATTGAACGATAAATTTCAGACCCTTTTACTGCATATTTATAGAGGGCTGAAACCGTTCCATAATTGTTGTAAGAGTAAAAGGTATGTTGATTCCATCAACCAACACACCTCTTACAAACAAATATGTTGGTTCCATCAACCAACACACCTCTTGATTACATATATATATATATGTATGTGACTGTTTATTCTAAAGGTGTAACATTTCTTACATATATAGTCAATGATTAATTTTATTTAATTATTGTTTGACTATTATTTGCTTACAATTTCTTCGTATTTAACTTCCTTTTATATACCTTCAAATATTTTGAAGCCATCTTCAACTCTGATTGCGGCTGTACTAGTTTGTCCTATAGTTTATTAGGGAGGGTCTGATTCGGTCTTATTCTCCCCTCCTCTTCTAATGAAAGTTGACTATTTACTTACAAATAATAATAACAATAATAATAGTAAATGAAAATTTGGTTTTGTTCATTTGATGAATTTATCATACGGGCAATTTTGGTGAATTTTGACCTCAAAATCCCAAGAAGATGTATCCGTTCTTCAATGCATGGACTTCTCATCCTCAATTCCTACCCTCAATTCATTATGCGTGGTGCACATTCATCAGGGATACAACAATGTTCCAAGTAGTATAGAAGCTCAAACTCTTGAAGCAAGCTCTCAGAGTAAATTGTAAAAGGAGTTTTTCAATGTCGACTCCAAATTGCATGATGTGAAAATGGAATTGGACTCTGATCAAATGGACCTTGGATAAGTCACCAGCTGACATTGATCTTCAATAGGCTGACCAAGGCGCAGGAAGACGTGCTGAGACAAAAATCAAGAATGACTTGGTTGAAACTTGGGGATTACAACTCTCTATACTTTCATAAGTCGTTTTCATCCAGAAATAATATAAAGAAGATTAGTTTCCCTTGTCTCTGAATCTGGGCAAGTTATTAATGACATAGAGCTTATTAAGCATGAAGGCTTCGTTTGTTTCGACGTAAAATATTCTTTTTAAAAAATATTTTTCTTTTTTAGGTAAAATATTCTTTTATTTTACTTTGTCGGTTTGGCAAAAGTTTACGTCGAGATTGAGGTCGAGTCCATCGAACGGGGTACGCAAAATAACTTGTCGAAAATTTACGAATAAATTATTTTTATTAAATTTTAATATTTTTTTTCTTCGTAAATATTTTACGACAACCCATACTAGAAATTAAAAATATATTTTTTTTAAAAAAAAATATTTTACGTCTAAACAAACGGAGTGACATATCATTTTCAAAATTTAGTTCGATGTTCACCTCCATCAACACGTTCTCTCTCTGATCTCCAGCCATTCTTCATCAATCAGGCCCCTCAACACCTGCATGGTTACTTGGATGAAATTCCCATAAATTTGGACATTTAGAAGTGTATGTTTAACTTGACGAAGGTAGATGGAACAATCACCTCATTGCAGTCTCTGCTGTTCACCGGAATTGTAGGGCCGGTAAAGGTCATGTGTTCTTTGTCCCCCACTTTGGGTGGTTGGGCTCTATTTGGGCTATGTTGCTTCTATGTGGGCTGGGGTTTGTACTATCCACGTGGCCTTCCTCAGGCTATTATTTTGTATATCCGTTTCTTTTATAAAATTAACTCACCATTCAAAAAAAAAAAAAAAAAAAAAAACCTTTAATTTGAGCTTTTTTGTATTTTTTATTAAACCTATCACTAGATGCAAAAATCTTCTAATCTATTTCTCAATGAAACCACACAACAAAATTACACTGTCAGAGTTATAAAAATTTCTCATAAAAGTTTAAACATTTTTACTATATTTCAAACTTTTATTTTCCTACATTTTTATTATATTTGAAGAAATCATTTTTTTTTTTTTTAAATTATTACCCTTTCACAGTGCATGTAAGATAGGATGCATGAGAAAATGGTGGGATGATAATTTAATTATTACCCTTATGTTATTTTTGGTTAGAGGAAAGGATTGAAGAGAGATGGATGAGAGAGAGAATGAACTAACTTTTTTGTGTTTGGTTAGAGGGAAGGAAATTCCTTTGTATTTTTCTATCCGCCCAAAATTGGAAAAAAGATGAGGGAGAAAGAAGTAATAACTAACACCAAGATGGATTTTTCATTTCCAACCTTCCTAAAAAGTTGGGATAGATATAGAATTTTTAAAATTTTAAATAATGAGGGCATATTAGAAAAAAGAATATAAAAACCATTTTTCCCTTCTTTTTAACCAAACCAAAAAAAAAATGTGTCATCCCATCCACTCTTTCTACTATCCATTTCATTCAACCAAACAAAAAGTGAAGAGACACCTTCCCTTCCCTAGGGATCCTCATCCATCCCTTCTCATGTACCTTCCCTTCATTTTTTTTATCCCTCCAACCAAAAGAAGCATTAGTGATGAAAAACATAACGAGAAACTCGTATCCGTTTAATAAATGATTTAATAATTTAACTTAAATAGGTCATGTAACCCGATAATTAATTTATGTATTAAATGTAAATATAATATATATATATATATATAGAGATAAATGGACGATTAAATTCACGGAATGAGAATAAATGGGACAATATAATTACAAAAAAGGTGAAATTTAATATCAATATCGAATCTATATTGAAATAATATAAACCTGACACTATTAATACAAAAGTCTAGGAGTTTCACGTCTTGTTCACTCAAATTTGCAACAATGGCTCAGCCTTTGAATTGAATGGGGTAAAATTGATTTGACTACACCAGTTTTTAATCTGTACAAGCATATATCCAGTAAGTCACCCCCTCCCCCATTCAACAACCAAATTAAGCCAGTGTCAATCTAAAAGGCCACCACCAGACAATTATCAAGTGAATGGCCATGATTCACTTCTAAAACACTCAATTTTTCCCATCACCTAAAGCCTTTTGAAGGACATAACTCTATAGCATAACTCATATACAAAACATAGACATTCGTTGCGGTGAAACCCAGGGATTGCTGATGAAATCTGAGTGAAGGCGACACAGAAATTCCTCTCCAATGTCATTGGCCATTTATTCCACGGTGCAGTAGCGATTCAGTTTGTCCATTGTCGCGGTACTTTTTCTTGGTCTTGGTCTTGTCGTGACGGGCTTTACGGACAGCATGCTGCACCCGTTTCTCGTGTTCTTTGAGCATCTCCTCGATGTTTCCACCCAGAGGAAACAATGGTCCTGAGTAGTGGATCTGATTCTTCTTGGGAGCATAAACCTAGTATCACAAGTCATAACCAAAATGATGAGTATATAACTAAAAAAGAGAATGGTGCTTGAAAATGCAGAACTGGAATGTCTTTCACACACAAAGTTTGTTTCACCACAACATGACCTGAGTCTCATGAAAAATCCAGGAATTTGTCAACCATGTAGGTGTTTTCTTTTAACCTTTTTTAAAAAAATGATAGGTTTTTGAAAAAATGATTCTTACCATTGTAGACTCCTTTCCAGATGTCCGTTCATCATTCTTATGAGAAGAATTTGGTCTATCCAGTAAATGATGGGACCATTCATGATTTTCAGATGATTCCGCACCATCCAGCTGGTTATATCTGGCATTCAGGGGCTCCTCTGGCCAGTGTGGATAGGCATTTGTCTCTCTGCTAAGACCTGACCGTGAACTACCTCGAAATGTTGCTGAATTGGAAAGCTTGGACAATTGGCCTTCTGCTCCCTGAGGTTTGAATGATCCTTGTGGCCTCCACTCTGTTCCTACCCCCAAAGAACCAAATGCTCGTTGAGAACCCATCAAGGCCTCATCTTCATTCACATTCATATATACTGCAGATTGAAGTGCACCAGGTTTAATTGATTGGCAAGAACTGGAGAAACTATTTTTTGATGTTCCACCAGAAGGTTCAATAGGAAAGCCAGAACCGCTATCTTCTTCAGGATTGTATTTCTCACTATTGCTTTTAGGGTTTGACTGCTCTTTTCGCTTCTGAATAAGGCAATAATAAATAAGAAGAAAGATATAACATATCTAATTCACTCATTGGCATTCACTCACACTTTTTTTTTATCCGAACCACTCACACTTAAATTTAGACATGGCTTCACAAATAAGGAAATACCTGTATGGACTCCTGTAACTCAGCATTAGCTTCTGGCACAGGCACTGCTTTGAATCCTCTGGAACCCTTTCGAGAAGATTCAAGTTCACGTCCTTTACCAGCAGCTGCTCTTTGCCTGATATTAAGAGGGACACAGATATGTAGCGGAAATAAGATGTAAAATGGTCAACTTCCTTTGGCAGAGGAGGAGTTCAAGGTGTTCCAAACAAGATATCCGTTTTTTTCTTTTTCTTTTTTTCCAGTAATAAGAGATCTTCCTTGTTCAGGATAAGATATTTCAAACATTCCTATGATTACATTTTCAGAAGCATGAATGACAATAATCTCCGTGCAACCTTACTGTGTTTTAATATAGGACGCAAATGCAAATGCAAATCCATAACAGTTTTGCCTGTTTCTTTTGAAGTCAAGAGAGAGAGAGAGACTTAATATTTTAATAGTGGGAACAACGTACCTTCTTGCATCCTCATCTCGAAGTTTGGCATCAAGCTCTTTGCTAGGTGGATACTTGGGCAAACTTGACGGATCACAGGGAAGAGGCTTCGTTGTGAAAAACTGAAGAAGAAACTCAACATTAAAAATGGTAATTACCCAAAAATCAGCAAATCAACTCACAGTAATGATCAGTAAGAATATCCCAAAGAAAATACTTGAAACAATTTTTTTTTTTTTTTAATTTTATTTTGGAGGAATAAAAGCATTATATCTTACCAGAATTGTAATGGTAGAACTTTTGGGTGGGAACCCAAAGTTTTTCCAACAATCACCATTCCACATAACATAAAGAGATATGCAACAGATGGTCAGGTATAACAGTTTATTATTAGCTGATTCTAGTGTGTAGACAGACCTTAGTTGAGAAGTGGAAAGGTACAATGTCAACCTAAGAAGCACGGAAACAGATATGGGACATGGATACGACATGACAAATTCTAAAAGATTAGGACACGGACACAGACACAGCGAATAACAAATGTATTTATATATGTGTGTGTGTCTGCACTTTTAGAAATTAAAGAGTAGTGTTTCTTTTTATCAACCTAATAATAAAAATAAATAAATAATAATAAATTGTGTTTTGCTTGGAAAAAGAAAGAATGATAGAAAGAGGATTAATTGAGAAAGAGAGAGAAAAAAAACAAAGAGGATCAGGGTTTCGCTAGAAAAAAGAATTAGAGCTTAGTTAAAAATAAAGGCAAGAATCCATAGAAGAGAAAAAGTTCACGGAAACAAGAGGAAAAAGAGACACAAAAAAAATTTTGTTGTGAAAGGAAAAAAAAAAAAAAGATTTAGGGTATGTGAAGAAGAAGAAAGAAAAGAGGAGGATGAAGAAGACAAGAGAAAGATGAGAAATAGGTGGGGGAGAGAGAAACCATCCACCAGCAGCGAAGCTTGGTCAGTGGGAGAATAAGAGAGTCAAAGATGATCATGCAAGATTTTGAACCTTTGAAACTAAAATATAAGCATAAATATCTTACTATTTTAATATAAAATTGTTATACAAAACAACAACTTTTAAGTAATTATATGTAGTGTCGGGGTGTGTCCAGCACGTGCCGGTGTCCGATATGGATTCTTTGTCCTTTTAGGTGTATCCGTGCTTCCTATATGTTAACTTACCAAAACTATACCAAAAAAGTCTTCAAGGCAAGGAAGGCATTCCCAACTACCAAGAGTAAGTTTTCATTTAAGAGATTGTAGATGGTGAGTATAAAGGCTCCAAGTTCATGGTTCTGGGGCAAAGCATAAGCAAAAAATAGAATGTGAACTAACAAAAAGGACCACAATTTGAAAAACTGTAAACATCAAGTGGAAAGGATACAGCAAATTAATATAGCAATGAAAAGCTCAGCTTTACCTCACTTTGAAGCGCAGAAGAAGCTGATCCCCGGCCCTCGGGTTCAAATGCAAGGAGGACATCCAAAAGTGTTAATGCCGAAGAAGGAAATTCCTTGAATGTCTCAGCAACGCAACGCTTGTAAGGATGCTGAGGTTTAAAGATAGTCGCATGTGGCAATTTCGACTTTTTCCAGTACTCTTCAGATGGTGAACCACAAAGTTTGAAAATTTTATGTAGTTGTTCCACCTATAAAAGATAATTATGAGGAGATCAATAACCAATAAAATTCAGGTTATCTAAAGCACCCACAGGCACAAATATGATGCTTTTACTAATAACATCACATGCCATTAAATAATTGACACATCTTGAAAAGTAGAAAAATTACATTGTACTATTACGATGTGCTCTGCTCACCCCTGACATAAACATGGTTAAATCAATCCAATTTCAAATTCCTAATTTACAGCATTAATTGACTTTAACTATGAAATCGACCCTGAGGTGTATCTACATTACCCTTCATATAGATTTTTTACTTTTTTGCCTTTTCCCTCAGACTTCATAGTTAACTATTCGACCCACTTTGTTTTATTTGATTTAGTAAAGATGAAAGAGTTGAAGGTGAAAAGCAGATAGATCTTTTTTCATATTATCCTCATAGATGAAGTGGTGCTTGCCACTGTTTGCAAATCTGTTATCGTAGAACACTTTCCTCTGGAGGAACTACACAACATATCAACCCCAAGAAACCAGAGACATTAATTTAGGTAGATTTGAGCCTAAATCAGGATTGAATTAGCCACAAATCACTAAAATTGCTTCAATACTCAACAATGTTTATATCCCCAAAACTTTTGCTCTTCTCCGAAAATAGTTACCATTCTATCCAAGACTCGTATCCTCCACCAAGTAATGGACTGACCTTCCTCTGGTCATTGTGCTGCCTTTACTATAAATCAAGTCACTCCTTACTACCGAATCAATAGCTGTTCACTACACAGGACAAAAACATCTGAAACGATCTTCCCCATCTTCAGTACAGTCCATTAAATTCTCAAGAATACATTGATTTTTTAATTCTATTATATAAACTATTGTCACTCATCCACCCTCAGTGTATTTATGGCGATACTCGCTTTTTTTCAACATGTTCTTACATACTGAGCATTTTTGTAATTTTGTACCATAAAGAATAGCTGCAGCATCTTATAACATATTCTGATCAGTTAAGACAGGTACCCTATGATCATATAGATATATATTACTCCAAAAAGAGTCCTTCCAACTACTATTCCTTTTTCATAAATGACTTAAATTGTGATTACAACCACTCAATGAAACCTCATTGCCATTAATGCTTACTTTTCACTCATTTCTACTCCTAATTTTACTAAAATCACATTCCAAAAAGCCTACCTCATTCCCAGCCACAGAAAAATCTTATAGTTTTCCCCTTAGTTCATTAAAAGCATCCATATTTTCAACAAAAACCACACAACTACCTCAAACAAAATATATAAAGCAACTTCATTCAAAGTCAATTAAAATAGACAAGGGTTCAATTCCAATGCTTTGAAATCCTATTTTGGTTAAAAATTCACTTGTCTTTTCTCCAATTACTAACATGAAGTACATAACCTTATCAACATCAATGTATCTAATTGGCACTCATTCTGTACTAAACCCACCACACTATAGATAATCTGAAGACCTCTCCCTCTCCAATGTTTCCATCAGATACCAAGGAAGCAATTTCCTGGTCGATCTTCTTGTCTGTCATAACACCAATTTGGCTTCCAAATGCCACTATTTCATGCCTTAACCTTTGCTTACTTTCATGATTTCATCTATATATATACGTATTAGAATGACTCCTTCTATATTTCAGGAATTTTCACCCCAAGCAAATAACTACCACAGTGTTGAGGAGACTTGAACCCTCCACCTTCAGCTTTGAAAGGAGAGGAGATACCACTAGGCCACATGCCTTGGTGGTTTCAATATATGCAGACTAGCTGGGTCAATTTGTGGATTTGACTATTGGGGCGTGGATCTGGCTTTTTAAGTTAATTTAACTAATTTCAGTAAAACAATTTCATATCCTGTAAGAGAGCATTTGGTTATGAGAACTAGAATTGGCATCTGATTTCTAATTCTAAGAACAAAAAGTTTAGGATTACAGATATATAGAACTAAAAGTCAATTGACAGTATAAGCCATTCATGACCCAAGAAATAAAACCTTTCAAACTAACATAGTACCTCTGTTCTTCCACGCATGATTGGCTTCCCTGCAAACAGTTCTGCAAGAACACAACCAGCACTCCACAAATCGACTGCAACTCCATAATTTGTAGCACCAAGCAAAAGCTCAGGAGGTCGATACCACAATGTTACTACACGACTTGTTAGAGGTTGCTTTTGGTTTGAATGGAAAAAGGTTGCCAGCCCAAAATCACCAATCTTGAGATTCCCCTTGTCGTCAATCAAAAGATTAGAGCCTTTAATGTCACGGTGCATGACCCCACGACTGTGGCAGTATTCAAGTCCACGAAATAGCTGTTGCACGTAACATTTGATCTGCAGACCAGCAGATGAAATCACACATAAGAAGATACCAAGTGCATGAAAGATATACTATAAGTTCCCTCTTAATGACGAGAGCGCGTAAGAAATGACACATGTAGAGTCACACATCAACAGGTAATGCAAAATATCAGGTCATCAACACATGTAGAACCAACCTATCTTCCAGATAAATGGAGCAGTCAGTGAAATTTGTAATATATTGATATACATCGTTGGACCCATTCCTTAGCATCTTAAACTTGAGGGCAGAAGATAATCTAACATAGGACCAGAGCCTTAGTTCGAGGTCTTGGGTTCTAAGTCTTTCCATTTCCATTGTTCTCCCATTTCTAATAGTATGTATGTTTGCACTGTTTTTCTATCCGTTTGGGAAATACATGCTGAAAATTGGGTTGACAGCAACTCAAGAACTATGCTCCTTAAAATTGTAATACAATCAAAAATATTTCCAAAATAATAATTCTAACATTAAGACGAACAAATAAAATCTCATGAATTATCATTTTCTTCACTTGTATAGTGTGTACAATGTACATAGACAAGTTCAGTTAGGGTCAGGTTGGCATCATTGAGCTAGATTCTTGCCTTATACCTCAACAGAGTCCAACCCAAATTTTATTTGGTTTAAGAATTTTTAACCCAATATCCACACGAGATTTTAAAAAATGCTACCTAGACCTATGAAAAGAATCAGGATTGGGTAGGGTCTGCTCACCCAAGTTGCATCCCTGTCTAGAGTGCAGTTGTTAAAAGATTTTGAGGTGAAACTTAAAAGTTGGAAGCACTGGAACACATAGAAGGGAATGTAGATTCATTTTTACTAAGAACACATCGCCGAGCCTTCCTACTTATTTTTAGTCTCTCTTCACTATTCCAACTTCAATAGAGCTCCAAAAAATCTAGAGGGATTTGTTTGGGGTTGAGCTTGGAAAAAACTTAAATCATTTGATGAAGTGGGATGCAGTGTGTTTGCAGGTAAAGGGCAGGAACCTATGGGGCATGCTTTTGGGGTTTCGGGTTCATGGAGTGATGGAGGATTCAATAAGATGGATGGTGGATAAAAGTGGGAATTTTTATATTAGATCATTTGAGGTTCTTTCCAGGCAAAGCAAGGAGGCTTTCCAAGGAAGAGCAAATGACTCACGAAGACCCCCCTTCAAGGTGGCAGTTTTTGCATTGGCCACATTGAATACCATCCTTAAAATGGATGCCTTGAATCGTAGAATCCATCAAATGACTAATCAGGTATTGCGTGTGCAAGGGGGGTGAAAGAGACGTCAGTTAGATTTGTTACATTATATTTTTGAGCTTTTCCTCTATTTGATGAATTATGCATCCATTGGTGTTGAAATTGTCAGGAGAGTTGGAGATACAATTGCCTTTAGCATAGGGATTGGGTGGTGCAGGAAGCTCCATTTGGAATGAAAGAAATTAGAAACCATTTAAATGTTGGAGCTTTCAGTCCATAGATCAAAGCACTTTCTTTTAAGATCACTCGTTTAGTTTTTTGACTCATTGCCATCAAGATTCTTTTGAAGAGCTTTTGGGAATATATAAGCTATTATTTTGATTTTTGCATAGCTTTTGTAAGCATCCCGTGAGTGTGGATTGCATCAATAAGTTCTTCTACGGAGTTTTTGTGTATATGAGTCCTATTCTTGTGTATAACTTTCATAATAACATCTGTACTTACAAAAAAGTAATGATATATAGAGATGTTCTATACTATAAATAATTATTCCCATACATTTCAAAAATCCTTATTTCCCATCAAACTACGGGTCTTATTATCTTCACCTCGCAAATTCATAGATGTAGTTGATGACCGATGGCACCCCAAATTACAAGTAATTAGCACATACCTGTGATTCCGTAAATTTCATTGTTGTTGATGCGGCGAGTCCAGCTAAATCATGCTCCATGTATTCAAATACAAGGTATAAATTGCCAGAAACCCTTGAAGGCACCAGACCGTCTAGCTTCATGACATTTGGGTGATCAAGCCTACGCAGAATAAGGATTTCCCTTGCCATAAAACGAACACTTTCTGGATCCATTTTAATAAATCGCACCTTCTTTAACGCAACAATTTTGCCAGTTTCTAGATCTCGGGCTTTGTACACAATACTGTAAGTCCCTTGTCCAATCTGCATCATTTGAATGTCAGTCAAAGCAATCAAAAGAAATGAATAGAAGATGACAAAAACAAAAATGAATTTAACAAGTGAAATGATAGTCTAACATATGCCCAAAGTTTAAGTTTGAGTATTAAAAATGAAATTGACATCAAGTATTGTAGTGTATCCCAATTTTACACAGATTAAAAGTGAACAAATTGGCAAGAGTGCTAGTCAAACTTAAACCACCCGTGCCCCCCATCCCCAACTTGTTTGAGTTTTAAGAACTTCCAATAAAGTATCCTGCTTATTTTTGTTAGCAAAAGGTGTGGGAGTTTTGAACGTCCTGCAAAAAAAAATTAAGATGTCACAGGGCAATTTGGCAGAAGGCTGATGCGTTTCTAAAAGAAGTTGTAATTTCTCATGGACTGACATATTTAGAAAAGTTCAAGGTATAGACTATAGATCAAAAAATATCTTCATATCACAGGGCAATTTGCAAGCATATAAACATGTGGACTTCAACTTATCAAAAAAAAAAAGACATGTGGACTTCAAACCAAATACAAAAACCTGTTTAATCTGCATCTGAGTTTGTTAGTAGGCAGTTTCCCAATTCACCACATATACATGTGGACTTCTAAAAATTAATTAACAGTTGGAAGAACCAGAGCAAGTAGCTGTGAATGAAGTGGAAGTTTTAAACTGAAACGGAGTATTCTATTTGCATAGTCATGTGAATTCAAATTAAAGTGGGGTAGTACCTGTTTTACAGCTAGGGGTGGCAGAATTCGTCACGACCCGTCAACACAACTCGAGCACGCAACCAAAAGTTAGTAGATTTGGGTTGACCTTAATAGTGTTCATGTCATAAACGTGTCAATCCCCCCTGTTTAATTAATCTTGTCAGGTTTGTGTTTTGAAGCTTAACCCGATTAGACCCAATTAATAAATCATGCAAATTTAACCCAATTACCTGTAACCTGCTTTAACTCAATTACGATGGACATTTTTGTTATTTCAATATAAACCCTGATATGGATATTGTATCGTCCTCTTTTTTGTAATTTTGTTGTCCTAATTGTCCTCATTTTCATGAATTTAGTCATCCATCATATCATTTTTCATTATCTATGCATCTTATACTTAAAACATGTTAATAAATGGATTACATGACCCATCTAACTTAAACTGGTTAAATAAGTTATTAAATGAATCATGTCGTGTTGTGAGTTACACAACCTATTTATTAAAGGAATTGCACTGGCAGTTTCATGTTACTTGTTTAATAGAACGGTTGTGTTCGTTTTAAGGATTTCTAACAAGATTATTAAACGGGTCGTGTTTGGCTTCACCTATATAACATAATACAATAGGTACACATGACACAAATTACTAATATGACCCGCCAACAAGAATTTTTACCACTATCACAACAACTGATACATCAAAATATCAAACCCTTTCAACCATTATCCACGGCTGCATAAAGAGCACCATAAAAAATTGAATCTGTTATAGTTGTTTCTACAAAACTATGGGCAGGCATATGCGCATGCCAATTTATTTTTGTTTTCCTAGAAAAAAAAGGAACTTACAGCAATCTCAATACAGGTACACCAATAAAATACAACTTCCAAAGAACCCTAATGATTAATTATGCAAAAGAGTCATTATTTAAGGTAAATAATTTTACATGAAAAACGAATCTTGAGACAACAACAAAGATTTTTAGGAAAGTATTCTTCATTGATTTGTGCAGTAATGCATAAATGAATATACAATCCATAATCGGTAAAAAAGAATCACAAAGATATGAGAATTCTAACTTATATGTATCAATGAAATAGAGGTAAAACAATGTGTGATTTGCAGCCATGGCAAAGAAACTTGGCAATCCTTAGACAAGTAGAAAATGATAGAAACCAAGTATACAAACAAATGCATCAAATGCATGAAACAATTTTCAAGTTTTTATTATCAATGTGTGTGAGCTAAGGGATTAAATAAATCAAAACCACCAGGTGAATCAACAAATGTAAAATAGGGAACAATGTGCAAGATGAAATAAATGTAATCCAACAGAATGAAAAGTTTTGAAGTTTATTAGACCTTCTCCAACTTCTCAAATGACTCTGCCTTTCGAGGTACCCATCCTTTGATAGCTTCCCCTGCCACAGCAGTCAGCCAAGATGGCCATCCAGCATTTTCTTCTACCCCTCCAACTCCATTGCCAGTGCTCAATACTCTGGATATCTGTGGTTGTCCTCTGGTCATCCCAACATCGGTTCCCACGCCTCTTTGACTCTGAGGCTTTGCGGGTTTGTCAACAATCGTGACCTTCTTCTCCCCCTCATCCCACACAGCCCGGGTGGAGGCCACATTCTCTTCTCTGGGCTCCTCCAATGATATAAGCCGCGCAGTCACATCATTGCCACAATTATCAACCTCCACTACAACATCCTCTCTTCTAGAGGAAGCAACAAAACGTTTTGAACATCTTTTCGGTTCATTCTTTCTAGCATTTTTCTCTGCATACTCGTTTCCAGAAGCTCCTTTCGAGTTAATGCAACCCATTGTAATTCAACTTCACACTCCCCTGTTCCGAAATACCAAATTCTGATAAAGTAGCTGCAATTCATGCGGCATTAAGCTCATGATTTGATTGACATTCCTCTCAATTTTTCTCAGACCAGACTTCACTCCTATTGAATCTACCATCCAATATATATTTCACTGTATGAATTTTCTATATCTTGATGTAAACTACAGATAAGGAAACCTGAAATCCCAGCTTCTAAAATGGGTCTCAATTTTCTTCAGATCAATACCTTCATCTATATATATCCAAATGCACCAAGAAAAACAAAATCAGAAAATTCCAAATATATATATATATATATAAAGCCTTTGACTTCAAAATTAGAAATTCAAAAGATTCTGCTAACCCAGATCCCCAAATCTAAATAATTCAAGCAAAACCAACCCACATTGAGAGAAATTTGAGAAATGCAACTACTACCAACCCACATTGAGAGTAATCCGAGGCGTGAAATCTAGTTGTGGTTGGTGGGTTAATAAATGTGCACTCAATTGGCTAAAGCCATTGAACAATTTGAAACCCAATTATAGACACAGCGATAACCATCCGATGATAAATCCAATCCCTAACAGATTTTCAAAAATCAAAATGGACTTTGAGATCAAGATAAAGATAGGGAGAGTTTGGGATCTGGTAGCCAAACTGACTGATAAATGGTTCGGACACACTAAGATCGAAGGCTTTTATTGGTACAGAAAGAGAAGGTACTTCAATTCTGATTTTGCCTCTTTTTTAGATATGGAAAGAGAGAGAGACACACACACCACGGTCTCGTGAAGAGGAAGGAACAATGGAGTAGGAGTGGGGTTCAGTACAACCTCTCCATACACGAGTGGAGTCTAGAGATAGTTCCTCTTGTTGCCACATGGGAGAAGATACTGGGTCACCGACCATCCTACTGTTTGGGCCCACATAAAAAATCCTATTCCTATGGCCCAATACCCAAAATATGACTGTTATTTTGTTAGAAAGATCTCATTCTCCAATCACATAATATGGTCCGATTAATTTAATTAATTTGCTACATATTACTGTATTTTTTATTAAATTAAAATAGCGTCATGCAAATATTATTAACCGCCAAATCAATTAAAAATAATAATTTATGTTTCTATGTCCAACAGTGAGACACTGAGAATTTAATTCCTATTTTACTCAAATAATAATAAAAGTTCCTATTTTACTCAAATAATAATAAAAGTTCCAATCGATTTTTATAATTAAGAATTAAGCACTTCAAATAAATATAAATATAGATATATACATATAATATCTTTTATCTTTTATCTTAATGATTATTGTGTAAGTTTAACATTGTTTTAATGCAGTTGCCAAAAGCTGATTTGAACTCCAATTCAATTTTTGAACAAATTTGAAACCACCTTCGCGGCCATAAAATACATCAATTTTTCCCTCCTTATTTTCGATTTTTCATACTCCATTTTCTTATCTTTTTAGTTTTTCATTTATTGTTGTATCTGTTGGGATTTATATGCCCTGGCATAGCAAATTCCTGTTTGGATTAAAGTGACATATGTTCCTGACGTTTCTGAAATATTTATATTTTATACAATTGGTGAATTCAATGTATTATATTTCGATTTATTATAGAATTGATAGTATCCATTTGATTACAAGAGATATTTATATATATGTATGTGATGGCAATCAATGTATGATATATAAATAGTAATCATAATGGTTCATAGTCGGTAATTATGGATGGACTCATAATTAATTAAGATTTGAACTGGATCCGCGTTAGGTTGAAATATATTACGAGAGCCGTCGTATGCAATTGCTCCCTATCACCGTCATGGCATTTGACTCTTAAGCATGAGAAAATTATAGACTCTTTTATTAATTAAAAATTACTTTGATTTGTTCGGCGGATTCTTCGGGATCCTTAGACCGACACTTTGGGTAGTTATGTAATTAATAGTTAGAGGGTTATATTTTCAATATTTGCATCATTGTTACTTGTATTTATTTTGTATTGATTATGGTTGATCACAAAGTAAATTCGAAGGCCTTCGTATGTTTTTAGACAAAATGATTTATTATATATTTACTTATTTAAATTATTATTTTTGTCAAACAAATGTTTTATTGTGATTGAGCCAGAAATAATCAATAGTACCAAAATAAATATATTAATTAAGTAGTCGGATTGATGGCTTTATTTATCCGATAACAAATTATGCATAGAGGGGTCAAAGTGCAATATTGACTTAGAGGTTATTTATTATTTAATTGGAGTTCAATTAATTTCTTTTAGTGGAGTATAAATTAATTTATGAATTAATTGAATTGAGTCCATGGACCGGGCCAATTATTAATGCATTGTAGCCAATAAAATAATAGGCCCAATGGATTCTCACTCATAGCCCAACTTGATATTGGAATCATATTAGATTAGAGACATGTGAATTAGAGATTGAGAAGGATTTGTTATTTCTTTTTCTTTATTTTTATGTTGCCTATAAATATATATGGTCTATGTATATTTTAGGGAGATTTTTGGAAGAAGGAAAAAGGAATATATTTTCTCTCTCTAAAAAATTAGGGTCAGTGTTTTCATCTAATGGAGGCTCCCACAAGCCTAATTTTCCAAGGTCATTCATAGAGGCTTATGAGTGATTCCTAAAGGCAAGACCATTACCAAGAAGATGGAAATCCATGGAAAAAGTGTCTAACAAAAGAGATTTACAATAAGTGAGAACATTCACTTTAGAGAAGAGATCTAAGGTTTACTCAAACCTTGATGTAAGTATTCAATCTTTTAATTGAATGATACATCATGTTTTATTTTTGCATAAAACTTGTCTCTATATAATGAATCAAGATTTATGAATTAAAATCCCTCGAAAAGTTTTGAAAATTATCACGTTTCCCAACAGTGGTATCAGAGCATGATTTGATTCATTACTAGAGATCATGATTTTATGAAAATCATCATTCATGGATCCAAATTTATATATGCATATGTATATATTTTTATATGATCATGATGTATGTATATTTGTGATTAGATGAATGTTGATGAATGTTTGGGCCATGGATGAAGCTTATAGGTTATTGGAATGTAATTTTATCTTTGGATGAAAGTAATTAAGGCTTTAATTTAGCCGTTTGAAAGCTCAATAATGTAATTTAATTTTTTCCATTGTATTTCAAATTGTAAATTTATTAAAAGCCATGAAATCTTCATCAAATGATGCTATGAAGCTTCAGGAAGGTTCAAAAGGGTTAAATTAGGCTTCAAGAATTTTCTAGAATTTTTTCAGAATTTTTCTAGAATTTTTTGGGCTTAATTATAATTTTCTGGGATTTTTTTTATTAATTTTCTGAAATTTACCGGCGATCGGAGTAATGCTGGCGGCGAGGGACATTGCCGGAAGGTGGACGGATGATCCGGTGTGGCGCAGTGCATATGCACGCGCACCAGCAGCCTTCAGATCAAAGATCAGAAGCGAAAAAGATCCCATGCAGCGCATTCCATGGCGCACTATATGAGCGCCTAATGGGAATGCGCGTGAGATGCACGCGCCGAGTGATGCGGCGCAACTACAAGACAGGCGCTTGGAATCACGCGTTGCAGCATCTACAAAGTGCGTGCAGGCACGTCTGTGCATGCAGGCGCGTGCTTGGGTGTGGGGGTGCGTGGAGGCCCGTGCAGTGTCCTGCTGCTTGCCCCCGGAGCGTGTGAGCTCGTGTGGGGCCCTCCGGGCACATTCCAAGCGGTGTTCTGCTTCTCCAAACGAGTACCAGCCTCCTGCGGGTGTTTACAAGGCGTTGAAAGACACTCATGCAATACATAGAGCAATTAATTGTTAAAAGCTGATTCCATTGGCCATTTTTATTTGCTTAATCTGTCATTAATTGATGTATGTGATGCATGGAATAGATAATTGTTTATTAATTATTATTCATGCATTGGATCAATGATATTTATTTAAATGGCTTGATTTATATTAATTAAATTATGAAAATTAATTGGATTTGATTACTAATTAATTAGAGGGCACTTATTGGGAAACGAAAAATTATTTTTAAAGTGTGCCTCCAATTAAATATTAGTGAATCATTTAAAAGTCCAATTATTTTCTAAATTTAATTGGATTAAAATCAAGACGTTTGGCATGCATTATATCATGTAAATGAATAAAATGAAAACCCTAATTATGAATGATTAAAAATTGAGTGGGAGCGGGGATTTTTATACATTGCCCCATGACCTTCGTTATTAACACCATTGTAATTAGATCTTCAAAAATAAGGCCTCACGCATGATTTGAAGAGTCTTAATATTACAAGAATGGTTGTCTCATGAAAATAATAGTATTAAATGTTCATTATAATTAGATCTTTAAAAATAAGGCCCTACGCATGATTTAAAGAGTCTAAATTATAATGACAAGATATTTAAATGTTTTATTTTTCATTAGAGCATTAATAACGTTATACACTCAATCTAAAATCAATAGTGTTAGCTCCCCAACGGAGTAGTCTACATTAGGTGATTTTAGAAAGGCTAAACATAATCGGGAATCATTTCATATAGATAGACAAGGCATTGTCTTAAGAGATATGGAGATGATGGGTTCTTCCCGCCAATAACAGTAATGAATTTCGCCAACCGAATAAGTTATTAGTATATTGGTTATCCGATTTTTTATGCAGTGGTTAAGGGACCCACATACTATTTTAATGGAAGTGCTCATCTAATAGTAAATGAATCTCAACAATAGTAATAATGAACTCCTCCGACAGGATAAGTTATTGACATATTAATTGGTTGATTTATTATGCTACAGAGTTAAGGGACCCGCATTAATTAAAAATAATTGTTCACCAATAATAATAATGATCTCTTGTTCAATTGAGATTTATTATATTATGTGGTTAACAAACTCATTTTAATTTTAAATATGCATGACAGTATTAATAATTCACCTTGCATATTGTATGAATGCATTTATATTCAGATTAATTATGTCTAATCCAGTTTATCTGCTTGCTTACATATTCAATGTAACTGGACCTCATTAATATTGACTGAGAAAGGAACTTAGATATTTTATTCACAACGTAAGGGTACAAATGTATTTACTACTCCTAAATCTAATTTTTTTTACTTTAAGATACCCAAGAGAACATTAATGCTTTGAATAAGTGAAATAAGGCAAATGAGATGACTTGGTGCAATATTCTAGAGATTACCTCGAATACGCTCCAAAGCTAACATTTACATTATTTTATTTTCTTCAAGCATCATGTTAAATGTCAATAAGATGTTTTGGTGAGATTAGATAGAGAGTATGCCAAAGTACTATGTCAAACTTGAATAGCATCAAGATAGCCTAAGGAACTCCAGTATGAAATCGAATTTTGGAAAATGATTGTTTATTATTTAAAAATTAGCTGGAGATCAATAGGGTTGATTTGGGTGGTAAGTTTCAAGTTGACATGATTATTGCCTTGTTACCAAACTCGTTCGACTCTGTTAGAGTGAACTAAATAAGGAATCAGTTTGAGTTCACACTTGCTGATATTCTTATAGAATTGGTAACAGATGAAAGGATAATCAAGAGCATGGGCGTTCCTATCAATCTAACCTAGTCTATACCATCTTCTTCTAAGCCCAAGTGGACGGGCAAAGCAAAGAAGAAGGATGATAATAGGACTAGGCTTGCACAAAACATGAGTATCTAAAAGGTTAAAGGGAATAAGGCAGTGTATGTCGAGGGCGAAAGAAATTGTGTCTTTTGCTGCTAACTATGACACTCAAGGACGAACTGTCTAAGTAATGACGTGGCATAGGAAAATA